TTTTTTTTTTATCAGAATAGTCTTAGCAGGTATCAGTAGGTGTTAGTAGGCTTAGTACAGTTAGTATACTATACTATTTTCGTTTTTGGATTATTTACTATATTAATAGTTAGTCTTTTAATATCTTTTTAGCTAACCTTTTAATATAGTTATTATAGTCTCTTTAAATATATATAAAGGCAGTAAAAAAAAGTCTACTTTATAGTAAGACACTTTTCTATATATAACTAACTTGTGACTCTATAACGTATTTCACAAGCGGCCCGGCCACCCCAACCAACCTACTAAATTTAAATGCATAGATCTCAACCAAAACGCCATTAAATTAATTCAACTAACTAAGTGGTCTATCTGGACATGTTTCTCTTCTATGCCTTGGCAATCTGTATATTCCACACCCCCGGGGGGGGGCCGCGTACGTGGCTGAATAGCCGATTCTCTAGGTATGCCGGGGCCGGGGAGAGGTGCTTCAGTTACTTCTACCAGCCCAGTAATCAATTGAGAAGCTTCTTAAACTAAGAGGCCTTCTTCGGCAGGGATCTGCCTTCGGGATCGAGTACGATTTTGCTTCTGCTTCTCGTTAGCGGCGCGTAATTCCTTATTTTCTTTGGCGAGTAAGATAGTACCTTATATTATAAGACGGAAGCCTTTTATAAGCTAGTTTAATATACGATCTGATAGACTTAGTGGGCTTCGAGATCTTGTACGAAGTAAAGCTTTGATTGATAAAGCCTGACGACATAGTTCCTTCTCTATAAAGGGGGTTTTTGGTATAAAATTCCGGCTTGATTCGCCCCCCCGGCTTAGAGGGGGGGTAGGTATTCGAAGTCGAATATTAAGCTTTAAAATCACTCGGTCAGGTATAAATAGTACTAAACCGGCTGCTCCGAAGCTATTTTGAATAGTCTCCGATTTAAAAGCTTTAATTTATACAAGGGGGTATACTTTAAGGAAGTTAAGCTTGTCGATATAGTTAATCCTATTCTGTATTTTAGTTTTAACCATCCGACTATACGACTGTTTTAATACTATAAAATAGCTAATATCTAAAGGTTATAAAAGGTAAGAAGAGTACGCTTAGGCCTTGACAAGTCCCGCAGCACTAGGCCTTTGGTTCGGTACTGCAGCACCAAGGCTTGGCAGCACCATACAACAGCACCAAAATTGGCTTAGTCCCGCAGCACCTCGCAGCACCATATCGCAGCACCAAAATTGCCTTGGTGCTGCGGGACTTGTCAAGGACTAAGTACGCTAGTATACAGATTAGTATTACCTTATTTTACTTATAAATCTTTATCAAATTTAGGTATTAAATAACTTCTATAGCTATTAAATATTAAAAGCCGGTACCCCCCCTTCGTATATAAAGAAGTACTCGGAATAAAGAGCTTTTTAAGCTAACAAAGTCCAATTTTATTAGAGGTCTAGCTATTAGAGCTAACTTCGAAGCGCTAATCCTCTAGAAGGCCTTCGAACCATGATCTAAGGAAGACTTTGCCTTTAAAAATCATATACAGAGGGAGGGCCTAATCTAAAGCATTCGTACACTTAATTATAGTCACCTATTTATGATTTCTAGGTTATAAAAGTGGTTGCTAACCGTAGAATTCACTCCTTATAATAACCTTAGCCGTAGCTATTAATCCTATAGCGAAACCAGTCTTATCGAAGTTATAGATATCGTCGGGGTCGATTCTAAATTAAAGGTTTATCTTTTAAACTAAATCAAACCACTCTCAAATGATTTTAGGGTCTTCGTATTTCGTACACTCGTAATTATACCGCTTCGAGAATCGGGAGGAGAGGAGAGGACGTCTTTTAACGAAGTTCGTAACCTAATTTTCGCCGACCGAAAGAACCGGGGTAGTTCTACGCCTTTTAAGGAGAAGATCCGCTATTTCTCGTATAGTAGAGGGCCGGGGGGCTACTCCACAAGAATCTATAGAGATAATCCATTTTTCAAGAGATTCCTCTTCAATTTCTGTTAATTTATATGAATTGGCACGTACTTCGCCTTGGCTTTAGTGGCCGCGTAGTCGATCTTGAAGAGTTGAACGTGGTATATTAAAAAGGCGCGCTAATTCACAAATTGAAGAGATTTCTCGATTCTTAAAAGCCTGGATAGCTAGTAAGATCCTACCCTCTTGCTCTATTAATTTTTTAGAGCGTTGAGAGCGAATTGGTGGCATAATGGGTGGTTGAAGAAGTAGGGTTTAAATTAATTGACGCGTTTCGCGTTAGGTGGCCGGGCCGCTTGTGAAATACGTTAGTTAGTTAAAAGTAAGATTAATTAATTTTTTAGTACTATCTATTACTAAATAAATGAATCCTAAACTAAATTCCTTTACTTCTTTATATATACCACAAACCTAGTAAATCCCTTGATTTGAAGGTATAGTATATACGAGGTTAACTATGAGTTTTCTGACACTGTTCTTACTTATATCAGACAGACTTCCGCGCCGTATCAACCTATAACAGGCCATAACTATCGTTTAAGTCGCAAATTTGTCTTCTATGGCGAAATCCTACCCAATAGTATCGTAAATTTCGACGAGAAACTACCAACCGCGATCTTGGTCCTACGATTCCCACCTAGGAAAATACGCGAAAGGTATATACCTTTATCTCGTCTTTAGTTTCTCGCTTACTATCACTCCAAGCTATTATTAACAAGGAGAAAGACACTAAGCTTGCGATAAATAATTAGTAATTACCGTACTCAAGATCGTACGGTAAATAAACATATTCCTTAAAATCTTAAACTAGAATGAAACGTGCTATACTAGTATATCCTTATGCTTACTATCTCACTACCCGTATTAGTTTTTTTTACCTGCAAGCCTGCGAGCTATAAAACTGGTAAATAGTAACGTGGTAATATACTAGCAATAACCCAGCAATCTAATGATAGCATACTATAACCTATAATTAACTACTAGTTTCATTTACCCTGCGAAGTTTACCTTGCTACCCTGCGACCATGTCATTCAAATATACTTCTTCTTTTGGACTGCAGATCATGGGGGTTTGGGTGCTGTAACGAGGTGATCGGAGACAGTGGGACCTTTGCGTTGGTTGAATTGCCTGTTTTGGTAGTGGGATATTGCATTCCTCCCTACATTCCGTGCATTCGAGTTGTAGATACCAATTATCTTGGAGCCATTCGAGGATCTTCCGGGAAAGGCTGGAGGTTTGTTGGGTCAAAAGAATGTGGATGATCCCTTGTTCTGTGTCATTTTATGATACAACCTAGCCGGTATAGTATGATGAGGTTGAGGACTTGACTTTGTACAATTCGATTTCACTTTGGCTTGGCAGCAAGTTCGGTATCCGAGAGAGCTCACGATATGGCGACAAAGGCGAATACAATAAAGAAGGAGCCCCAGATGGAGGCATTCAAGCTCCTACCGAACAACACCAATCCGAATTGGATCAAAGATAGGGGGCTTCGTAAATTGAATATGGGTATTGTCTTCATGTTTTCCACTGCTTCTTCGGCTGGGTATATTGGAAATCTCGTGAATAGCTTACTTGTGCTCCCTCAGTGTAATGTCTCCATCCTGATATTTTGATTTTTATGCTAATCATGAAATAGTCGGTACCATCATTGGAGGATTGGATCCCAATATAGTTGGTCTGATAATTGCCGCCACTTCTCTGGGGGCGTTGGTCTCCTTCGCACCAGCCTCTTATATGGCCGATAAATTTGGACGTAAGACGTGTGTCTATATTGGATCCAGCGTTGTGATTGTGGGAGCTATCACTCAAACCGCAGTCAAAAGCCACTGGGGCTTTTTTGGCACGAGGCTCTTGTCGGGCATAGGAATGGGCATCACCCAGACTGCAGCTCCTCTCCTGGCAACTGAGATCGCACACCCTCGGCAGCGACAGACGGCCACGGCCCTCTATAATGCATCCTGGAGTCTGGGCGCTATTAGCTCCGCAGCAGTTACATATGCAACTATAGACATAGCAAACAGTTGGTCGTGGAGAGTTCCTTGCCTGCTACAGATATCGTATCCGTTGTTCCAGATCCTAGGATTGATCATGTTTGTGCCCGAAAGCCCGAGATGGCTTGTGTCCAAAGGCAGGAAAGACGAAGCCCTTGCTGTCCTGGGAGAGTACCACGCGAATGGAGACATAGATGATGAGTTGGTGCAGTATGAGTACCGTTTGATAAGCAGCACGATCACAGCCGAGATCACCAATACCAGGAATTGGAGCTCGTTCTTCTCTTCAAAAGGCGATATGCACCGATTGACCATTTGTGTATTAGTTGGGCTTATGCAGGAATGGGCTGGCAATGGTACGTTCTCCACAACGTCCAAAATAAAACACTGTCACTAACAGTATCGCAGGTCTCCTATCCTACTACCTCGCACCAATTCTTGGATCAGTGGGAATTACCAAGGCAGCCGATCAAGCAGCTGTGAACGTCAGCCTCAATGCCTGGAACTTCTTCCTTGCAGCAGCCGGTGCACTTGCATCGGAGCGATACGGCCGCCGCATTCTATGGATTATTTCCACATGCGCCATGATCGTCTTCCTGTCTATGTCGACACTGGCTGCTGGTCTGTTTGCCGAAAGACATCTTCCTGCTGCTGGAATTGCGGTGGTTCCACTCCTATTTCTCTTTTTTGGTGCATATGACATCGCTTATGCGCCTTTGTTCATCTCGTATCCAGCTGAGATCCTGCCCTTCCAACTGCGTGCCAAGGGAATTGCTGTCACCCTTTCGGTAGATGCTGTGGCGTGTTTCTTCAACCAATATGTCAACCCGGTGGCGTTCACGGCGATTGGATGGAAGTATTACTGTGTCTTTCTTGGTTGTCTGGTAGTGTTCTTGGGCCTTATATACTTCCTCTTCCCGGAGACGAAGGGACGGTCTTTGGAAGAGGTTGCTATGATTTTTGACAAGGAAAAGGAACCAGAGAGCAATAGCAAAAAGGAGATAGAGACAATATAGATAGACCGAAACTGAGAGACAAATATAAAATATTGACCATGGTGACCAATCAGAGTCCGGCTGATGTTGCTGATGTGCAGTTCCCCCGCAGTTACAACGTGCCCATTGGAACTTGCAACCTCTCGTATCTCGAAATTTGTATCGATTATATATATCTCTACTCTTCGCTTGGTTCTAGCAAGATAATAGACCTTGACAGAGCCAAAAATAAGCCCACCGATTATTTGTCTTTTCGCTAGATCAAACCCTTGGAAGCTCCAAAGCTTGAACTTATCCCCCGCATTCCCAATACTTCAACCTAAACCAACATGAAAGAACCAATGCCACCTCCCCCAGAACTGGATACTGCTCCCGGCTCCTCCTTATCATCATCGAAGCAACTACGCTTCCTTGTCATCGGCGCTGGCTCTCGCGGAAACGCCTACGCTCGCGCCGTCACAATGGTCACGCCGGGTGTAATCCACGCAATTGCCGAGCCCCACACATTCAAACGGCGCGAGTTTGGACGAAAATATATATGGGGCGTGTCTGAATCCTCCAAAGAGGGCCAGGAGTTCACAGATTGGCGCGAATGGGTGCAGTGGGAACTCGAACGACGGAAGCGTGCGACTCAACATAACGATGATAACGCAGCAGACACATCCGCAACTCCCGTTGGCGTAGACGGAGTCTTCATATGCACACTAGACGAAACACATGTCGAGATCTTACGAACCCTCGCGCCGCTCCAACTACACATCCTCTGCGAGAAGCCACTAGCCCTCTCGCTAGACGACTGTCTAACAGTATACCGAGCTCTCCAACCACCAGAAGGCCCAAACAACACTCCTCAAGCCCCGAAGAAAATCTTCTCAATCGGCCACGTTCTCCGCTACAGCCCGCATAATATCCTCCTCCGCAAGCTCCTCCTGACAGACCGCGTAATCGGCGACATAGTCTCCCTAGAACACTGCGAGCCAGTAGGCTGGTGGCACTTTTCGCACAGCTACGTCCGGGGCAACTGGCGGCGCGCAACAGCAGCAGGCGATGGCTCCCTCCTCACCAAATCCTGCCACGACATCGACTTCATCCTCTGGCTCCTCTGTTCCCCGCCCTCACCCGAAAAAGCATCTAAACAAGCCCAGCAGCCGCACTTCCCGCGCTCGATCTCCTCCGCCGGCACGATGACGCAGTTCCGCCAAAAGCGCAAGCCCATCTCCGCAGGCAACGCTACAAATTGTCTCTCCTGCCCTGCTGAACGTGACTGTAACTACAGCGCGGTTAAAATATATAACGACCGCCACCTCGCGACGGGTCATACGGCTTGGCCGGTTGATATTGTCTGCCCGGATATCGAAGATGTGTTCCGTGCTCAAGGTGACAAGGCTGCCGAGTCGCTGCTCCTCTCTCGTCTTGCCGAGGACTATGACCGAGATACGGTGTTGGACTCGGATATCGCTGCGCGGCCTTGGTACGGGCGGTGCGTCTACGAAGCCGATAATGATGTCTGCGATGATCAGATTGTGACGTTTGCTTGGGACGATGAGGAGGCGGCGCCGCATCGGCTTGCCAAAACAGCGAGTTTCCATATGATTGCACCCACAGAGAAACAGTGCGAGCGTCGGGGCCGGGTGTATGGTACTACTGGCGAGGTTTCGTATGATAGTACAACAATTTCTGTTTACGACTTTGCTACAGCGAAGACTTCTGTCTTTGATGTCCCTAAGCCGCCGCCGGGGCAGAACGAGTCACATGGTGGTGGAGATTTTGGGCTTGCGAGGCAGTTTGTTGGTGCTGTTGAGGCGGCTGAGGGGGGACTTGATGTTGAGACGGCGCAAGCGAGGTTTGTTGGCTGTTCGCTCGAGGAGGCGGTGCGAAGCCATGCTGTTGTTTTTGCGGCCGAGGAGGCGAGGAGGGAAGAGAGAATTGTTAAATGGGAGAGCTGGTGGGAGGAGAAGTTGAGGGTTTCTGCTGCTGCGTGGAAGGTATAATTGTATGGAAGGGTTTGATGATTTACGATTCTACGATGTTATGATATTTCGTGTTTATCTCCGCTTGTTTGAGATCAGATACAGGGGGAAATAATACATATACTTCATTAGCTTCACAGATCTTGAAGTCTGAATTTGAACAAGACAGGCTTGGATTATGATAAAGATGCAGTCTCTATCTCATGCCAACATATAATCTTGATCCTGCTTTTCGATCATCATTCTTCTCGCGTTCAGATAGAACTGCAAAACAATTAAAAGGGGATCCCCATCCAGCAGGTTCCACATTAACCCTAACAACCTAACCAAACTTAGGTCTTAACATCAGGCTCCTCGCGGCCAACATACTCCTTGAACTTGAGCAGAGAGAGGGCCAGCGAGATGTTATCAGCCAGGTACTCCTGAGCAGTGAGACCGAACTTAGACTTGTCGGCTTCGTAGCGCTCAACGTACAGACGGATAGTAGCACCGCTGCTGCCAGTACCGGAAAGACGAACGACAATGCGGCTGCCATCATCGAACTTGGTGTACAGGCCCTGGTTCTTAGAGACGCTACCGTCGAGGTCAGTGTAGGAGAAGTTGCCAGCGTCGACGACCTTGCGGCCGGCGATTTCGGAGCCAATGAAGGTGTCGGGGTTGGCGACCAAGTCGGACAGAGTACCGACGACCTTGTTGGCGCCTTCGCTGTCGACATTCTCGTAGTCGTAGCGGGTGAAGAAGGTGCGGCCGTAGGTCTGCCAGAACTCGTTCTGGATGGAGCCAATGCTGGGGGTCTCGCTGGGCTTCTGCTTGGCAACACCGGCAATGATGTTCAACCAGGCCACGACGGCCCACAGGCCGTCCTTCTCGCGGATGTGGTTGCTGCCAGTGCCGAAGCTCTCTTCACCACAGATCGACATCTTCTTCTCATCGAACAGGTTGCAGAAGAACTTCCAGCCGGTGGGCACCTCGTAGCTCTGCAGGCCTTGGGCCTTAGCCACGCGGTCAACGGCTCCGGAGGTAGGCATTGAGCGGGCCAGGCCGTATACACCCTGCTTCTGGAAGTAGGGGATGAGCTTGGCGTGGTGGGCGATGATGGCCAAGCTGTCACCGGGGGAGACGAAGCTGTTGGCACCGTAGATCATGTTACGGTCACCGTCACCGTCACTGGCGGCACCGAAGTGCACGCCGTTGGCGTCGACAGCCTCGACGAGCTCGTGGGCGTACACGAGGTTAGGGTCGGGGTGACCGCCGCCAAAGTCCGGCTTGGGCTGGCAGTTCATTGTGCTGCTGGTGGGCAGACCGAGCTCCTTGACGAAGATATCCACGCCATAGGGCCCGGTCACACCGTGCATGCCGTCGAACAGGACCTTGAAGTCCTTGTGGGAGCTGAGGAACTCCTTGATCAAATCGAAGTCGAAGATCTCCTTCATCATGGTCACGTAGTCGGCAGTAGAGTGGACGATCTCAACCTCGAGGGGGCCGTAGTTCTTGATGCCGATGGTAGAGGTATCGACATCGGGAACATCAAGGTATTTGTAGGAGGTGAGGGTCTTCGCGGTCTCGAAAATCTTGTTGGTAACGCCCTCGGGGGCGGGAGCACCGTTGGCCAAGTTGTACTTGATACCAAAGTCGTTCTCGGGACCTGGGGGTGTTCGGTCAGCATCCAACAGATTGTGTTATTCTTGTGACCATCACTTACCACCGGGGTTGTGACTGGCAGTCAAGAGAATACCACCAGTTGCCTTCCTCACACGGATGAGGTTGCTAGCAGCCGGGGTGCTCATAATGCCATGCTGTCCAACCAAGAGCTTCTTCACGCCATAGGCGGCACTGATCTTTGCGATCTTGGAGATAACTTCGGGGTTGTAGTAACGGCCATCACCACCAATGACGAGGAAGGAACCCTCAACGCCCTCAGGGATCGAGAGAAGAATGCTAGTAATGAAGGATTCGGAGTAGTTGGCCTGCTGGAAGACCTTGACCTTCTTGCGAAGACCGGAGCTGGGGGCAAGTTAGCTGGCAGTTCAATTGCGGGGCAACGAGCAACATACGTTCCAGGCTTCTGGTCAGTGAAGGGCTGGATGGAGACCGTCTGGACAGACATGATGGAATAAGATTGGAGGGAAAGAGGTAGCAAGGAAAAGAGAAGAAGAGGGGGGAAGAAGTTCGAGAGAAGTTCACCGACTTGTTGAGCTCCACGGGGAGGGGCCAATGTTTGGCGTCATGTGTTTATCATTCCACTAGTACTCTTATAGTACTTTGCCACAACTTCGAATATTAATTTAAATGTTTCTGTACTTCGTACACTCCGTGCACCTCAAGGGTTCTCTGATTTGTTCTATTTAGTCCAATTTACAAGTTAAATTATCTGTCAAGGTACTCTTTCAAATTGCCCCCCCCCGCAGATCATTCCCGCGGGGGAATCAAAATAATATCTTTTGCCCAACAACCTTGTTCCGAAGTATATTGTACATGCATGAAGTGTACATTAATGGTCTCTTCTCACCTTAGGGAAAGGGTAGTCAAGGTCAATTTGAACATGCAGAGTTTTAAAAATATCCCTAAGACCCATGTCTCAGAGTAACAGAGACAAGGAAGCCACAGTACCAGCCACACCATCACCCAAATAGCTTCTCCTTGTAAAACCGCATCTCCTCAATACTTTCAAGAATATCATCCCTGGCAAGATGAACCTCCCGCTTAGGCGGGACCTGCTTAAGCATCTGATCACTCCCCCACCTCCGCGCCGCCTCCTTCAAGGAACTAACATCCAAAATGCGGTAATGCAGATGATCCAGCACCTGCGAGTACGGCGCACAAGCAAGGAAAGCCTTATCGGCGTGAACACTATTTCCCGCGAGGAGGGCAGTGCGCGGGACCGGGACGTGCTGGCGGATGTAGGCGAGGAGAGAGTCTGCAGCGGTGGAGGGGGAGGTGGTCGAGGCACGTACGGCGGCGGAGAGGCCCGTGCGCCCGTGTGTGTCGATGCACCACTGCGACATCGCGTAGAGGGTGGAGTCTGGGACATTGATGACGGTTTCGAAGCCGGTCGGTTCAAGGAGGTTTAGCTGGGCATCTGTGATGAAACAGCAGATCTGGAGGATCTTGTCGGTTTCTGGGTCTAGGCCTGTCATCTTGTGGATGGGTTAGTGGTGATTGCGAAACGCACTGTGAGGGAGGTTTTTGGATCGGAGATGGAGTGTGTAGACGTACCTCGCAGTCAATCCAGACCAAAGGGTCTGTTGAGCGTTCGAGTGGCATCGTGGATTTGTGGCGGATGGAGGTTATTCTGGGCTATTGAAGCTGTTAATAATTTGAGGTTCAATTGGATTGGAACTTGGCAGAATCACTCACTTGGTGGAGAAAGCCGGGCTGGGCCAGAACACTGCGTAATGCAGACGCAGGTAGAAATATACTTCTGAGCATGGATGTGTAGTTGAGGAATTTAAAATATTCATAATTGTTTCAGTTATAGCTTATCGGCGTTTACGCCGTTTCAGCCAATACTACGGAGTAGACAAACCCAAGTTAGACGAACCCCGGGAACCTTTGGAATATAAAGTCTACAATGTATATAATTACTTGTCTCTGCCTACAACGCTAATTTGAGGGTTTGGAATCATGACCAAGCTGCCCTGATCGGCGCAGCAAATGTATTTCTCCTTCAACATGTTCCCTGTATTGTAGGTGGTGGACATAACGGCGTAATTGTAGAAAAGCAATATGACCATTCAGAGGACCCAGTAAATGGAAATGAGGATCCCGCCAACTCGCAAAATCCTAATTGATCCATAGGATCACAGCAAAAACGAGCAGTGCTTTCCAAAGGGAAGAGTAGTAGTCTGTCAGGCCGAATGGCTCAAACAAGATCTCGAGATCAGACCACCCAGAGGTCAACTATTTTCGACGATCGCAGGCTTACAACTCCTCATCATTTTCTGGGGGTCCAGCGGAAAGATCAGGTGTAAGACTGAACCCATCTGCGAATATCTTCGGACTGGTCAGGGTGGATTCTGTTGGAGCGGAAGAGCCTAGAACCTCATTGATTCTACCGGACGACTCTGCGATCCGGCGTCTGAGGGCGTTCTCATCTGCAGTCGAGACACTCGCGCGCTGTTTCTTCAGCGGACTACCGAAAAGGCTATCTTCTGGTTCAACAGCTGGCTGAGACGGCTCGGAGGGCCCACCTGCAGATGCAGTTGCGGCCGCCTTTGGAGGTGTTGCTGAGCGCTCGTTTGCAGGAGGCGTGGATCCAGATCCAGAAGCCGGAGTATCGGTAGAGTCACCGACACTGCCTCCAGGGGGTTCGGCGGAGTGCTGACGTTTGAGCTGTGGGATTGTTAGTAAAACACTGATAGGATATTAGAATTGTACCCACTCGAATCTTCCGCAAGCTCTCCGCAAGCTCTCCCTGGCGTTGAATGTCATCTGGAGACAAGAACCGATCGTCATCCTTGGCTTCTTCGTCGTCTGCCTTGCCAAGTATGGGGTTATCGGTGTCATCGTCCTCGCTGTCCATGTCATCGACGCTTTTCTTGCCCTTCCGCGGCTTGGGTTCGTTGTCCCGGAAATTAAGGAATCCAACTGAGCCCCCAGGCTTGATGGGGCCGAGGTTTGCGAAATCAGCTTGTATGGACTTGCGCTTGGTGGCAGCGGGCGTCTCTTGCACCTTGGGGTCTTTTAGGATACCCATCTTCTGCAATTGACCTACGTTCATTTGAGATTAGAAACGATTCTCAGTAAGAGTGATCTAGAGGATACTCACGTTCACCACGGTACATGAAAGTGAAGACAGCGTAGGGTTTATCAGTCGGGTCAATACCAGTAACAGTCTGCGTACTAATGGTCTTCGGGTCGAGTGACTTGGGCTTCGCGAAACTTGTGGTGTGGTCAACATCGGCATCTCCTCCGCCGCTGTTATCCTGACCACCCTCTTCGTCGTCGTGCGCATCAAATTGCGGGGAGTACTCGCCCCGCTTGATTTCTCCCGACGCCAAAACTCGGAACAAAGCAACCTTAATCTGGCCCGCTGTCTCGGGAATTGGATCATCATCGTCAGAGTCGGAGGAGAGATCGTCGTCTGAAACATCCTCGAGGGGCGACCTCTCATCATTTCCGTATCGCATAATGGTCTTGGATTTGGCAGGATGGTTGTCCTCCATTTCCATGGCGGTCGGATCCTCCTCAGCGGCGCGCTTTGCACGTCGTTTCTCCATCTTCTGTCGCCTGCGTTCGATCTTGGCTGCGGCATCCTTGCCTTCCAGGTCCAATCCGTTGAGCCAGCGCTCTAGACCGACCTCGCGGAACAAGAATTCGCGCTCGGCAATTCCCCCGCCTTCGCTATCCGGAATGCTGACCCAGCGAGAATTCACCCATGTCTCTTCTCCTCGTCGCAGTAGTGTAGCCACCTCCTCCTTCTGTCTTCCGTCAAAGTAGATGTATGCAGCCACGGTCTCGTTCACCGAGTTTGTCAAGCCCTGGTATGGTGCGACCGTTCCGGCGATTTGACCTGTCTCACCGGACAATTTGCCCACCACTTTTGGCTTCGGAGAGGGGCACTCTGCTGTCGGCTTTGGTGTCGAGTACGGAACATCTTGCTCGGGGTTCAGGAGGGTGACGGAAATGGCGAAGGTTGATTGTTCCGCTTTGCCGGTCCCAGATTCGGGGATTTTGGGTGGAGGAACAGGAATGAAACAACCTATGCGCGAAGCTCGAGAATGCCGTTGAATGGAATATTCGGAGATCGGGCCATCGGGTGTGTGGATGCTCACGGCAAGCCCTTTGAAGCAGGGCATGGTGGGAAAGGGATAAGTGGGATATGGATGTTGCACTGTGGGGAGAAGAGTCCAACAAAGGCGCAGGGCCAGATCTGCCCCGCAACTAAGACAAGAAATACTTCAGGCAAAAACACGAGAAAAGTGACGCCAAATTGAGGATAGGCGAACTTCTTTCTTAGTTTTTTTTTTTTCCCTCCCTCGTGGATGTTGAGGGAATAAGCTATAGGTGGGAGGCGGTCAAGGTAGTGGGTTTCGACTCACCCAGCAGCCCACAGCAGTTCCTTGAGCTCCACTGCAGCTGCTGGTGTGTTTGTTTCTGGGGTTCAAAAAGGAGGGTCACAATGACGGGGGGATCATAGATTCCTAAGGATTGGGCCAATACACACGATACTGAGGCCCTTGGGTTTAAGTAGGCATACACAACCTTGAAATGTGAACAGCAGGAATGAGGGTAGGAAAAGTAGACTTGAGCTCTCTCAAGGAAAAAGGTGAGGGGCGGGAGTGGACCAAAACATGAGCGTTGCCATCCCCCCGAACTCCCACGTGATACACCTATCAAGCCTATAGTTGCCTACATCATTGCCTACATTGATGGTCATTTATCTTCTTTTATGCTTTATCCCATGACTCTATCTGGTGAAATAGTATCATTTGCCACTATTGATCCCACCCACACAACAATATCAATCATATTAACTATACTCACTATATAAATCATATCAAGATTGACCTTCTCCTGATCATATCTCCACATCAGCTGATTCCCCAGCAACCATGGATTCTGCGAAACCTTGTGGAGCACACTTTTCCTACTTTGGATGTTCTTTTATACAACATACACGTCGAATTTGCGATAAGATAGAAATCAGCTTAGCTCTTCTCATATCTAAAGAGGCTGTCATTCTTGTGATAAATTTCATTATTTCCAAAATCCATAGTGCATCATCCATCATTTGAATATCCAAAAATAAAAACAAATAGAGTGCAATGCCAATCAGCTGGCTCTACCACGGGAACAAAATCCGCAATTGGAATCCAAAAATCAGAGCCATATTGAGCAGACTGATTTACGACTTCACATGGTCAGAGACAACACTCTGTTTCCGCGACATAGCAACATCCTCATTGCCGCTCGCAAGGTGGTCAAACTGGTACAGAGGCTCCAGCTCAACATTCTGGCGGAAAATATAGCGTTTGAACCAGTAAGGCAGCGCTTTGGTGACTTGATACTTCATGTGCACCCGAGTAGGAACTGCGAAGATATAATCTAGCTCCTCGAGAGTGCGCTGCTTGGTTTCGGGAACCCAGAGGAAAATCATGACCATTGCAGTCACGTTCAGACCACTAATTACAATTGTCAGGGATTTAATGATCAAGTTATAATATCGACAGAAAGACTTACGCGTAAAATCCGAATGCTCCAGTGGGAGTCATTGCACTCAACATTTTCGGGAACGTGATTGAAAGCACGGCAGCCCAACCTAGACAGGTTGCCACAGCCCAGGACATGCCAACCTCTGACATCAATGTTAGCTCTAGAAACTATATCAGGCAAAACCGGGAGACTCAAAGTTATAGACATACCACGATGTGAAAGAGGGAATACCTCTGCCGAATAAGTGAACGGCACAGGTCCTTCACCGGGCGAGTAGAATGCGGCGAATAGGAAGATGAAGAGAGCGATCGAAGCCAGGTGACCCGTGCCCTCGGGAGTCCAAAAGCAGAAAGCAGCACCAAGCAAAGTCCATGCCATCTGTGGGAAAGTGAACAACAGCAGAGTCCGGCGGCCATATGTATCGATAGTCCAGATAGCAGGGAAGGCGAATACAAAGTTAACCAAGCCGAATCCCCAGGAAGCAAACAAAGCCTGTGTATCATTTGCACCGGCATTCTTGAAGACAGTCGACGAGTAAAAGGCAACAATGTTAATACCGCACATCTGCTGGGCGATCATGACAACGAACGAAGCAAGAGTGGCACGGCGGACGCGAGGAATAGTGAAGAGTTCGATGAAGCGGGTGACATAGTTGCTCTTGCCAATTAGGTCCATCTCAATCTTGATCTGGGCATGGATATAGTAAAGGTCGCGAGCAGCCTGCAAAGGGGTATTACGGAGGCGGCACAGAGATCGGTATGCCTTGCCCATCTCGCCCCGTCGAATGTACCAGCGAGGTGACTCTGGGCAGAAGTAAACACCGAATAGGAGAGGGATAGCCGGGATAAAGGCCGATCCCAGCTGTAGGCGCCATGATATTTTACCTGCATCCTTGACAGCAAGGTTGGCACTGAATCCGAGGAAAATGCCAAAAGCTGTCCAGAGCTGCCAGGACATGACTAGACCACCGCGGATAACAGCAGGAGTATTCTCAGCGCAAAAGATTGGAATTGTCGAGGCCTTCAGACCCATTCCAATACCCAGGAGAAGACGGACCACAAACAACTGCTCCCAGTTCTGGGTCACTGCTGAGCCAATGGGGGTAAGGACGCAAAAGATAGATGAGATGAAAATTGTACCGCGACGACCCAGGATTCGATTACATGGGTCCGAGAGCCAACATCCAAGGCAAGCACTAGCGATGTAGGGAGCAGCATTGACGACGCCGACGAGCCACAGGTTCCGATCGGCCTGAGCGCTCTTTTTGGGATCTTCTGAAATACCAAAAGCATCGGGGAATGATAGGTTAGCACCATTGGACCCAGTCTGGTCCCATCCTCTGTATTGATGTTAGAGATAGAATCAAGGCATACTGGGATAACAACTTACTGCACGGCTGCACCAATAGAACACAGGATAATGGTGAAGTAAAGTGATCTAGGTTGGCGCCATTTGTGAAGCACTTCGTCACGCAGGGCATTGAGCTCCGGCTCGGTCAAGTCCGCCACTGTCTCGAACTCGGTAGGATCACGCGCAACCAGGGCTCCCTTTTTCAACTCGGGTAGGATATCTGTCACGTTGTACTCCTCAGCAAACTCTTCCACGTTGCGGAGCACCTGATTCTTGGTCAAGTCGGCCAAAGGGTTCTTGATCCTGGTTAATGTTAGTGAACTGAGAGGAAAAGGAAATATATGACTGGGGAATCAAACGAGTGAAGCTTACCTGGCTGAAACATTATTTTGAAGATCAACTTGCTCGAAGTATCCCTTCTCAGCACTGTTTTGATCATTGCTGGAACTACATGAATAGAGATGAGCATTGCAAATTGCACACCTGGGCAAGGAATATTTCAATCTTACCGCTGGCCTGAGCCCACCTGAGTGATGACCTCCTGAGCCATTTTCAGGACTCGGTGGCTAAGCGATTGATGGTGACTAAGAAAAGGAACCGGATGCTGTGGGCTGAGATGGCTCTTTTGATGTGGATCTTTTAATGTGGAAGAAAGAAAAAAACAGAAAGGTTGTCGGGGTAGAGGAGTTGTAAAACCAACCAACAACTTCAATTACCCCAAAAGCTTGTTTGATGAGTCTTGGAGACAGACAAAATTGTGTATGGTAACGATTGACCTTGGGGGGAGGGGCACCTTTTTATGTTCTACATCTAATCTTTTCCCAGACCAGTCCGTTTGACAAGGGATGCACAATATCATTGGCTAAAAAGAAAGACGCCTAAGCCTCGCGAGTAAAGCCAAAAAAATGCGACTCTTTTGTCATGACTTCCCTCTGATCTACTTCCCAAAACGGATATCTGGGGGCGATGACTTGCCCATGGGGAAACCCCAAACCTAAAATGAAAATGAAGATACAAGAAATACATACTCCACTCTTACGCTAAGCCTTCGGCCTTTAGTGGAATGACTTGGTCTCGGCAAAATACTACATTAAGAGTGCTTTGCTACCTTCCCTAATGCCAAGTACCAGAAACAAGTATGAACGAGCCTCTCGGCCCAAGCACAGCTACATGCATCTGGGTAAGAAAGCCTCTAGAATCTTTCGCTCTGTACCAGGATTCCAATCTAGACCCGCTCAAGTCCGATGCGAAAAGATGCCTTCTGCTGTTCTGCCCCAAGTTTATCCCATACTGATGACGGGGTCCTTGTCTCTTTGGTTATGCAATTAAATCCTACAGCCCTATTTATACTTCCCTTCAGATCCAGATATGAAAAGTAATTCTCACGAGGTATCGGGATCAACTCTCGATATTAGGGTCTCCGGGCGAGCGCCACATTCGTCGACTAAAAGCATCGGGTTATGGTAGTCGCCTCTAGGCAGGGGCCGGAATTGTGATTGGCGAAAAGGATTTAGGCATACGACTAAGGGCCAGTCAATTCATTGGCGCTAAATTAGACTTAAATTACGTTGATCCCTGCCCTTTAGGCTGGTTTCCGGTGACTTCACAAGGTTCAGAGGTTCACGTGGCTAATATAGTTGCCTTTTGGAACCGCATTGAGCGAGATTAAAGTCGTCTTGATTATTGGAGATATAGGAAATGACGAACGTCTGACATTAAACCCTTTTCCGAATTCAGTAAAAAGGGAGAAACGAAAAAAAGTGGAAATCCGGGGCAAATTGCGGGAGAGACATCTATTTGCTCTTCCAAGGTTGGGGGCCTAGGTCTTACGCTAGCACCCGCCAATCCAGTTGCGTACGGAATAGGAAAAACTCACCTCGGGGATGAATTACTCTCGGAGTCCCGTGGGATATTATCGGAATAGTCGAAAAAGAGTTTTTTTCTTTTCCTTTCAATTTCTTAGTACAAGGATACTCAATCCCGAGTGTGTGCCCCGTAAACCTGAGTTACCGTGCGTTTTTCTCCAGCCGAGAGCGCAACAAGCGTTGGTGGCGTTAGACTAAGTAACCTAAGACCCGACAATGATCTCAACTCGATGATTATCTTGCCCAGTCAAATTTCGAAAAATAACGTGTTTCTCGGAACGTGGCCAAGTGCTGATCTGACTAAAGCGGCATATTAAAAGATGATCGCATCATCAATCTCAGTGGACTGTGACCGTCTCCGGCGATATGGTTTTCGAGGCTCGAGCGGCCCGTGTCTGGGGGTTGCAACGCTAAAATGCTCGTGGCCA